TAGACTATTAGTGCGCATCTTTGATTTATAGAAAACACTCATTAAGTGTATCTGAACAACATAAAAACATATTAGATGTAAAAAAAAAATAACTTTCAATACATTATGACGAAGTCATCAAGTTGCAAATCGAATTGATTTTACAAAATGAACTTTTCGCAATGAATGATTATGCAAAAGGTTCATTCAGCTGAAATCATTTTTATAAGATTTTTTTCTATGAATTATATAAATAAAACTGGTCCGATCCGGTTAAATATAATCTCTATTAAAAATATAATGGCAGATTAGCAGATTTTTCTCCCCTAGACATATTATAATTATCTTATAATATTAAGTGATAATCACCAAACAACAATTATAAAATTGGGAGCGAATTTATCTATCATTAGAAATTTTTCACTTTAACTGCATTGACAAGTGATGGATTTTTATTTTTTGTGCAATCTAAATATACTTCCAAAAAAAAATGTGTAGTTGTGCTTAGATTAGAATTAGAATTTATCTTAAATGAATTACATAATTCTCATAAATCGCCTGTTTAAGCAGCTAAGAATAAAAGCAATTTTTAGATCAACATTTTGGAGAGATCAGTAAAACTTTAAAAAAAAAAATTTTAAATATTCTGATATTAATAATTCTGGAAAAGATTCCAGAAATACCGAAACTGGTAAAAAAAAAACTCTAATAAAACATTTTCATCGAGAAATCGATACGATTAAAAAAAATATGCTCGATTTTTTTAAAGGTTAGTGACATGCAATATTTACTGTAACATTATTACTGTTAAACTATTATATATTAAAACCTATTTATTTATTGTGAGTAATATCAATAGATATACATTGTAGGAATATTTACAAACGTTTAAGAAGTTATATAATCGTCCTTGTAACGTTTTAAATTGATAAATGTAATTAAATTACATCAACTAAAAACTATCGATGAGTGTTTATTCATAATTCGTTAGTTCAGTTTATTTACAATTCATTTTATTATATATTTGAAATTTTTTAGCCTAATGATATGTACGATATGATTTAAATATTTTCGACATGGAAGTAAAAATATAAAAATTAAGTTTAAAAATAAATATTTCATAATCAAACCCAAGTTTTTAGAACAATGTTTTTTAAATTGAATATTGGTTATAAAAATCGTCAATATCTCGTGTAATAATTAATCCATCTTATATTAAAAAAAAATAAATTAATTGAGATAAAACAAACATTGCAACATTACGGAGTTACAACGTTTCGAGCCAATGAACTTGAACTTCATCACATTTTTCGTCTGATCAAGATTCAAGATGTATAGATGATTCAGATAATGTTATCTAGCAGTCAAGGTAAGGTACTCGTACAGTATATAAGAGAATCGTTACACATATAACTGTTACGTTATTTCCGAAATAATTACATTTATATTGGTAATATTTTTATTTTTAAATATTTGCATATTTTTTTATATATTAAGTATCTAGATTCATGATCAAATATATATATATATATATATATATACTCACCTGGTTAATTTGAAATTTATCAGAAGTGAACCAATCCATAAAATTTATTGAAATGAGTTAGTGTAGTTTTTTTATTGGTATTAAGGTATTAATACTATTATTATTAATATTAATATTTTCAGCAAATAAGTACAAGTTCTTAAATAACATGTTTTCAATGGAATATCGAAGTTGAAAAAAATATCGGCAATTGAATGCAACGTTTTTATTTTTTATATTTTAAAGAACTAAATACAAAGTTAATATTTACCAATCTATTTCAGGATAAATTAAATATAGAATAAAATTAAATTTCTGGCAAAAATACATGTTTTCCTGATTTCCTAGGTCATTTAATTTAGACCCGAGTTTACCCTAAATGTGTGCGATATAGATTGGTTTCGTCAAAAATGTCTAATTACTATGTGAAATTTTACTAAATAAAATTTATAACTACTGATTATAATAAAATTATTGTTTTGTTTTTTTCAGCTGATTCATATGAATGGGAGGATATGATTCAAGTGGAACTCCACAAACAATATCCTAAACGTGAATTCATGAATGAATGACGTTTATTAAAGATTTAATTATTCCAAACACACTTGGCATCATAGGCTAGGAAACATTTTTTTTAGAATCGTAAAGAGAGACGAATTAACATAAACAAACACGGGTAAGCAAACACGTGGTTATGTAATGTTAAATAATTAACAACCAGGTGTGTTGTTTCGATGTTTAGTACACTTTGAAATTTTTTTGGAAATAGAATAGGAAGTGTATATTTAAGAAATAATATATTGGGGTTAATAAAATGTAAATTAAAATCAAAAGTCTTTTAATTTAATTTTTTTTTTTTTACTCAAAATATGTTCAAGGTGGTTTGGTTCAGTCATAAAGCGTCTAGTCACTGTTAAAAATTTTTATAACTATAATTTATATCTGATGATTATAATATTTTTTTTAGGGTAATTGCTATAGTTACATGTTTCAACTTAGGGCCCAAAAATGATGGATCTTAATTGTTATCTATGAATGAATGGTGTATAGTAAACATTTAATCGTAGCTGTTATAATAATTATCGCAAAATAATATAATAACGTATGGATATCATGATTATGTATACACACTTGGCTTCCATAACATTATAATATATAGCCAGAAAATATTAATACTAATATATCTTGATGGAAAATTAATGTTGAAAAACATATTTAAAATAGCATGCGATATTTATTATTTTTTAAATGTAAAAAAAGATAGATGCATTATTTTTTTACATTTAAAAAATAAACAGCTACGATTAAATGTTTACTATACACCATTCATTCATAGATACCAATTAAGAGCCATCATTTTTTGGCCCTAAGTTGAAACATAAACTATAGCAATTACCCTAAAAAAAATTATTATAATCATCAGATATAAATAATAGTTATACAATTTTTTAACAGTAACTAGACGCTTTATAACTGAACCAAACCACATTGCACATATTTTGAGTAATCACGAATTTAAATTAAATTACTTTTAATTATAACTTACATTTTATCAACCCCATGCATCTAAATGAATGCATCTAAATTTTCCTGTCACTAAATTTGGACTTGAGTTCACTCTTGGTATGTATTAATGTAGATTGGTTCCATCAGAAAATGTCTAATTATTATATAAAAATAACACTGCGTAAATTGTTATGAATAATATGGATTAATATAATTAATATAATGATAGGGTATAATTTTTATTTTATTTTACGTTATGGTTAGTCTACATATTTGGATTCCATTTTAAGCGAAGAAACGAAATAACATGAAAAAGCAAACTCTTGCTTATGTAACGTTAAAAATTTGACGGTCAAGTCATTGTATTGTAGACGGTCAAAATATTGTATCGATGTTTAGTATAACAAAGTACTTTTTTTTTTGAGATGGAAAAAAGTTAAGTTTGTTACAAAAATGCAACCAAATTTTCTTAAACAATTTAATTTAGAATAAATATTACTCTAAATAGGAGCAATGTGCATTGGTTTAGTAAAAAAAAAAAAAGTATAAATATTGAATAAAATTTCAATAAAAAAAATTTATATTTCCTGATTATAATTGTTTTGTATTTTTATTTATTGCAATGAACATGAGATATTATTCACTACAGAGCCAATGAACTATGAACCAAATGTGCATCTATGAATCAATCGTATATAATAACTATTAAATCAATGTTATTATAATAATTATCACGAAATTGGTATATTAATATGGTATGGACATTATGAGTAATTTGTTTCTGTTTTGTTCATTTTACACACTTAAAAATATTAGTATATAGTCAGAAAATATTATATATGATTATTTAAATTAAGATTATTTTATAAATGTCACAAAATTAATATAATTATAGGATAGGATTTTTATTTTATTTTGAGTTAAGGTTAGTCTACATACCTAGCTTCCATTTAAGGAGAAGAAACATATTTTTAAAACTGTAGAGAGAAACAAATTAACAAGAATAAACACGGAAGCCCCCCCTCCCCAAATATAAAATATAACCATGTTTTACAGAAAAAAAAATTAAAAACTATCTCTTAAAGTATTCTTGTTCGTGTAATTAATTTAATAGGACTTCAAGAACCACCTAAACACCATTTCATATAGATACTTAATTTCTTTCTTTTTTTTCTAATTAATTATGGTTATATGTGTATTAAAAAAAAAATCTTTCTGGATGAAGCCTCCCCCCCAAAATTAAATCCTGGATCCGCTAGTGGAATGGTGTATAATAAACATTTAATCAATGTTATAATTGTTATAATATTAGTTGCCGCTAAATTGATATAATAATATAGTATGCACATTATGATTAATTTGTTTCCGTTGAGGATAGTCAACACACTAAACAATATTGTAGTGTATAGTCAGAAAATATTATTTATGATTATTTAAATTAATATTATTTTATAAATTATAGGATATGATTTTTATTTTATTTTGAGTTGAGACAATCTACACACTACACACATCATTTGTGAAGTAACAAAATTTTAAAAATATACGAATTAATATGAGTAAACATGGGTAATCAAACCTGTGCTTATGTAATATTAATGTAATGTATTTTTTATTTATTTATTTTTAAAAGTGTATACTTATATTTTACCACTGTAAATAGTTTTAAGTGTCTTGGCATGGTTTCAAGTGTTTTGTATATAGATTTTTTTTATTTTGTACATAGTATGTTTAACTAATATTTTCTTTACTGTTTTTTTTCTCTTTATTTTTACTTTTTATGTTTGTTTTTACTTAGGCCAGATATAATACTTTAATTTTGTACTTTTTTGTTATTTTAAAGGGCCTTCGTCCTAGAGTAAAATTATTTTTCTATTCTATTAAATAATTGACGATCAATTGTATTGTCTGCATGTTTAGTTTAAGTACACTTTTTTTTATAATTTTTTTTTTTTAATTTTTATATATTTTTTTCTTTATTGACACTAACCTTTCTTCGAGTTGGGCACAGGTACTTCGACCCTGACATCCTTGAAGCTGATGTTGATCGCGGGGTTCCTTGGAAGCGGGAGCAGGAGAATCCTCTGTCGCTGTATCGACGGCATCCTGACGACTGCTGAGTCTCCCCCCCACCACAACCCCTAATATATTCTCTTTGTTTACGCTCCCCGCCACGTATCCCCAACGGGCCCCCCCCGGTTTCATGAACTCACTCCATAGTCGCTGACTTCGGAGGACTAGGATGTCATTTAGTAAAAAAGGATCCAAAGTAAAAAATAAATAAAAAAAAAAATAAAGTGTGTGCTTTAGACCACAGGATAAAAGTGGAAAAATCAACAAGGCGAGATTAATAATATGAAATATAAACTATAAATAATAGCTCATTATAAACGGGATAAAATGCTGAACCATTCCCTTCCTTACAGTATGCCGGTCTGATTTTTAGTTTCTGAGATATTTTAATCTCTATCTTCAAGAAAACTCGTTATAGTTCGGTTTTCGACTCTATTTTTCCCTTTTTCCCTCTCTAACAGGACGTCGCGTTAAGAAAATTTTTTCAATAACAGTCCTTAGGTATGACGGTGTTTTTAATTTATTTATCTTTAGGTTGTTTTATTTTTTATTGTACATAGTTTTTGATTATTATTTTACTTTTGTTAATTTTATATTTTCTGTTAATATGGTATGAATGTGTTATATCATATATCACTATAATTATTGTCCAAGCGACAGATTGTAATATTTCTAAATAAATTAAAAATAAAAAAAAATAATAGTCCATTACAAAGAAGATAGAAATGATGAACAATTCCTTCGCTTACAGTATGGAGGTCCGATTTTTAGTTACTGAGATATTTTAATCCATATCTTCAATAAAACTTTTTATAATTTGGTTTTCGAAACTATTTTTTTCCTTTTCCTCTCTCTAACACGGCGTTAAGATACAATTTTGAATAATAGCCCATTACAAAGAAGAAGAAATGATGAACATTTACCTCACTAACAATATGCAGGTCTGATTTTTATTTTTTTAGATATTTTAATCCATATGCAAAAACACTTTAATTAGTCGACTTTTCCCGAACGTTACACTTCGGAAATCTGACGGCTCAATCTAATTCACTCTTCACAAATAATTTCCAAACGCGCCTAAAGAAGACTTCACTTAAAAAAAAAAAAAAGACAAATAATTATTAGATTTATTTATTTTTTTATAAATAGAAATTGTTACAATAAGTGACCTAACCAAAATTTCGTAGGTCATGTTTACTTATAATCATCATTGTTGACCTAACAGATTAAAACACTCAATACGTTCCCTCTATTGTATAATGTGTTAGAAACGTTCTCTTATTATTTTACGAATAACATTTTATCAAAACTAAATGAAACCGCGAAGTATAGATAAGAGCTTAGATTCGTAATTTGTATATATCTTTCAAATCTACGCGGTGGAGTAGAATCTTCTTGAATATCTCTAAAATAGAAAAATAATATAATATAGATATATTAAAAATAATATTATATTAAAATTAAACAATACCGCAGAGTTTAGAAAAGCGGAAGCGATAAGAGTTTGTTTTTTCTACTTTGTTTTAAGCAAACGTATCTTTCCTTCTAAACGGTAGGGTAGGATTATTTTAAATAAATTAATTTCTAAAATATAAAAATAATAATATAATCAATCAAGTAACTGAAGGCAAAATGAAAAAAATCATTTTATTAAAAACTCTAAAAAAAGCATTTAAGGGAAAAACTATATTTTGATACAACAGGGGTAACATAAGGGGTTAATATTTCCTATGATTAATGGAGGTTTTGGACAATTAATCTTTTTTCCTCTCTTTCTTTTTAACACGGTTACCTTAAGATACAATTTTGAATAATAGCTCATTACAAAGAGGATGAAATGATGAACATTTCTCTCGCTTACAGTATGCAGGTCCGATTTTTATTTTCTGAGATATTTTAATCCATATGTTCAACTTAAATCGTTATAATTTGATTATGAACACTATTTTTTTTTCCATTTTTGTTCCTCTAACACGGCGTCGCATTAAGTACAATTTTAAATAAAAGTCCATTACAGAGAGGACAAAATGCTGAACAGTCCTCTCGCTTACAGTATGCAGGTCAGATTTTTAGTTCCTGAGATATTTTAATCCATATCTTCAATAAAACTTTTTATAATTTGGTTTTCGACACTATTTTTTCTCTTTTCCTCTCTCTAACACGGCGTTAAGATACAATTTTGAATAATAGCTCATTACAAAGAGGACGAAATGATGAACATTTCTTTCGCTTACAGTATGCAGGTCCTATTTTTATTTTCCTGAGACATTTTAATACATATCTTCCATAAAACTCGTTATAATTTGGTTTTCGGCACTATTTTTTTCCCTTTTTCTCTCTCTAACACGGCGTTAAAATACAATTTTGAATAATAGCTCATTACAAAAAAGAAGAAATGATTAAGATTACCGTCACTAACAACATGCAGGTCCGATTTTTAGTTTTTAGATATCATAATCCATATGCAAAAACACTTCAATTAGTCGAATTTACCCGAGCTTTAACACTTCTGAAATCTGACGGATCAATCTATTACGCTCTGCACAAAAAAAGTGCAAAACGCGCTTGAAGAATTTTTCACTTCTAAAAAAGAAAATGTGCAATGAAAATATTTTATCAGACACAACTGTTATCGATTTTGATGATTTTTTTTTTTTGGCTCAATCTAATCACTGTCCACAAAAAAAGTACATAACGCGTCTAAAGAAGTTTTTACTTCAAAAATAATAACAAATATTCTAAATGAAATAAAATAAAACTGTTTTGGTACCCTAAGAGTTTATATCCAACCTAATAATGGATGTCATACAGTAATTGTTAATATGATATAAGTGTATTTTATGGAGAATGATTTTACAGTCATTTTTAAAGCTGCATTTAGACAAAGCAATATTTTTTTTTCTCTACAGCAGATGGAAAACTTCAAAAACAAGAAACAAAAACACCAGCATAGAGAAATAACCATTTATATATTTGTTTTGCACATAGTTTGTGATATGTCTTAACATAATTAGCTAGCCTGTAAAAACGTTGTGTTTTTATTTTTAGGTTATAAAAACTAAGGAATCAAAAATATTCTTAGGTTTTTAATATTATTAATTTTTATCTCAAAATAAATGTACATATATTTTGGAGGCTGTCTCCCTTCTCTTATGTCTGGTATATAAAAATATGTAATATATTCAAGTTATTTTTAAATATATCCATCCGCATAAAAAAAAAAAGAAACCTTCAAATATATAAACTTTTTTTTTATAATATTCAGTATTGTCTTGTTCGTATCCCAATAATTACCTTCATTTTATATATATATCATTCATTATCATTTTTACAAATAATATAAACTCCTGAAATTTTTTTTTCAAAATCGAAGTCTGCACCTTTGACCCACTACTTCCTTAAAAAGTTTTCTTGAATAGTATATTTTCAAAATTACATCTACAAAAAAACGGTATAAATACATATTGGTACTCTACTATCAATGCGTCAACTAAAAAGATAACGCAGGAATGCTTAAAACTGATAACGTCAGGTAGCGCTACTCGTCCCTGGTTACCGATAAACAAAACATACCGACCAGTGTTGCCGTTTGTACGAGGATCCTCGTATTTGTACATAATTTTCTAGAAAATAATATTTAAAAAAATATATTTTAGATTTTATTCAGTATAAAATAAAACATAAGAAACCATATCCATTATTTCCTTCATGAAATTTTATTAAACAGAAATTTTTAGCGTCATTTTTATCGAGCATAAAATAAAATACGATAAAGTATATCCATTATTTCCTTCGTAATTATTATTTCCTTCATAAAACTGCAATTTTAAATATATTCTAGATAAATTAATTTTTTTTTTAAATTATTACCGTAATTAAAAAAAAATATTTTCGATTTTTAATCCTAGTATTCATAAATTACTAGTATTCATAATGAACCCATCTTAAATCATGAAAAAAAAAGTATTTTTTTAGTGGTCCACATTTATTTTATGCGAGATATAATTGTAAGCTAAATACTGAAACAATCACAATCTATTATTTTTTTATATTATAATGGATATCTCTAAAAGCATCAATGCCCCAATAATTAATTTTTATTAGCCTTCCAGAACCACTAACATGCTTTCATAAAAGTAGTTGTTTTGTTTTTAGAAAAAAGAAAAAAAAATTAGTCCTTCCCCCAAATTAAATCTTGGATCTAATAATGAATAGAGTACTTTAAGAAGTTTATTTAACTATTAGTTTATAAAAATATATAAATTTTTTTTATATATTTTATTAAGCTGTTACTTCTTGACCCATTAACTTAAAAAAAAAAGTAATGTAAAAAGGCTTTAAAATATATGAATGGAGGTAAAAATAAAAAATGTTGATCTAATTTTACTATAAAAAAACAATAACACTGGGCTTATAATAGTACAAGTTATGAATGAGCAGGCGTACGAGGATGTACGAGGCTTCAGTACGAGGTTTTGTCACAGAGCGCGCGGTAACACTGGTTGCCATTCCTGAAAGATCTCTCGTATTTGTAGGAGATTTTAAATCAGAAGTCTCCAATCTTTTTCTAATTGAGGATATATTAATAATAATAATTTTAACATATAAAAAAGTATTTCTTATATAAAATGAATAATTATTTAATAATATATTAAAAATGTTTAAGAAATTTCTTTATATGTAATATTAAAAATAATATTACTAAAATAAGGTTATAGCTCGAAAAGCTTGTAGTGCAGCCACTATGTTTTGTAGGTTATAGATATTGTATACTCCTTCGAGTTTATTCTTTTATATTCATTAATTTATACAAAGAAAGTAGTCAGAACTCCGACGTGTAACGCTTGGGTAAAGTCGGATGGAGTCGACTAATTGAAGTATTTTTACATATGGATTAAAATATCTCAAAAACTAAAAATCGGACCTGGATATTGTTAGCGAGGAAATAGGTCATCATTTCATTCTGTTTGTAATGAGCTAGTATTAAAAATTGCATCTTAACGCGATGCCATGTTAGAGAGGCGAAAAGGAAAAACCG